ATGCCCAGTGTATCCCTTTTATTTTAAACATTGTCAAAATTCTATTCAAAAACAATGAAAGATACACAATATAGCTATCAATCACAGAATTCTAGGTATTTATCAAGAAAATCCAAAGTACCAACTCAGAAACTACAAGAACTAATAAAAAGTTCAGCAAGAAGGTTGATTTTCAAGTAAATATATAAAAATCAATAGCTTTCTTAATAGAAACAATGTTTGAAAATAGGAGTACTCTTTCACAAAACTCTTTCATGACAGAAACAAAGGTAAACAGAAATATAAAACTTACAAAAAGAAAACTAAAAAACATAGGTGAAGGCATAAAAAAACTTGAATCAACAAAACAAAACATCATGTGCCTTAGTAGTAAGACTGGATATAAAAAATTCTGTCCCTCCCAAACTATTCTACAAATTTAATCCAATGGAAATTTTTAGTATTTGATAAAAGTATTGCGAATCATATTCAGAATAAACTATTCAGAAAAAATAGGTAGAAACGTCTGTAAATTGTTTTTGAAAAGAACTACAGGATGTTAGACTATATTTTAAAGTCAAAATAAATTAGAAACACAGTGGTACTAGAGCAACAAGAAACCCCCAAACATAACTAGTATGTAGGACCACAGATTATGAGAACTGTGGTGTTTCAAACCAATGGGGACACATGTGTAAGAGGTCAAAATAAGTGAACTCAAATTCAAAAAGTGAGGAATTATAAGCAAGTTATGGTGACATTTTATCAATCAGGTTCTAATCTGTTTTTACTAACCTGACCATTGTAACAGCCAAAACAGAGTAACAATGTTTAATGGCTTCTGAATGATATTTCGTACCTTTCATTAGTGGACCAGGTATGCAGTTGTAAATGTGAAATGTCTAACAATTCAATAAATTCATCGACGACACTTTAAAACTCTTTGGAGAAAGAATGAATTTAGTTGTAGCTACTTAACCACTAAGAATAGGATTAAGTTAAATCCCAATTCACAGAAAATACCAAAATAAATCCGGATGGATGCTGTTAAATATAAACACTGAAAACATACTATCAAATGCACTTCAAAAAGGCTGAACTAATTTAATACTTCACCAGCACTGTAGTACCCATTTTCCCTAGTCTTCAGCAACATATGTTCATTCTCTTTGAGAAATGCAACTTCTAAGAATTCATGACAATAATCAGACACATATATGAAAACAAATAATTAAGGGTATCTACTGCAAGACAGCTTATAATTTTGAAATGTGGAGAAAGACTTAAATCTTCAATCTGTTATCATTCAAGTCATTTATTGTACCTTACTCAATAGAACATTACACAGACATTACTAACGATGCTGCTGAATAATATTTAATGGGCATGAGGAAATTTTTTTCACAAATTATTGTATAGTTTAAAAAATGTAGTGTTACACACGAGCTTTCATACTATAATCCCAAATCTGTAAAAGAGTAAAATGTAATTTTAAAATTATATATGTGAACGTGAATAAGTTTAAGAACAGATAACGAAATGTTAAACAATGGTTCTTTTGGATGCTCCTTTTCCAAAGATTTTCCGTTAAACCGGTTTCAATTTGCTTACTTTCCCATATTAATATCTACTGTTTTATCATCAGAAAAACATGCATGTGTACCTGGCATACAGATACTTCTCTGAATTATAAACACAAATATCTATGTATAATAATGTTTATCTCAGCAATATTTAAAATAGAAAGTAATCAGAAACAACTGTCTTATAAAGAAAGGTTTGGATAAATTATAGTACTTCCATTGGATGTCTCCTAAAACAATGTTTCACAGGAATATTTAATAACCAGAAAAAAAATGCTGATAACATAAATTTTGATTAAAATACAGAATATGAAATTGCATGGGTTATGAGACTTCTTTTTTAAAAATAAATGCATAACTATATGTAAGCAGAAATCATACATTGCATTATAAAAAAGGCTGGTAAGAAGCAACAAATGTTAAAGTGATTATCTCTGGATGATGCATTGTCAATGGTTTTATTTTTTTCTTAACACCATTCTGTTTTCCAAATTCACTACATAGTGAGTTTGGAAAGTGTGATATACATACAAGAATATCCAAAGGAGAAGGGGGAAGAAGGAGAGGAAATTTAAAAATAAAGCAGCCATCTGTCCCACTGCTTTGAATTAGTTTTAATTACAGAATTTTATTCATTTTAAAATTTCAAATGACACTAGAGGAATTATTTTATCTATCACATAAAGGTATAGGTTTTTTTAAGAAACAGAGAAGCATTGCTCCAAAATGTGTATTTTTAATTTAAAATATTATTTTTTTAATAAAGTTTAAAGTGCTAAGAGTTCTATTTTTAAGTGAATATAGTTAGTAAAAATGCAATCTAGTTGTAGCACTTCTGAAAATTATATTGACTATTATGTCAGGAATAAATATGCCTTTATATTTAACTCATAAGGAGCACCCAACATACCAACAAAATTAATTTAATTAATTGTTCTTTTCTCCTCTAAAAGTATTATATAGCATCATTACAAGTTATATAGAGAAATCACTAGGTTTCTTTACTTATTTTGATAATACTTTGAATGGGTTTCAATTAAGGTAATTTTTAAAATTAATTGAAAGTTTAAGGTTAACAAATATTTCTGAGAAATATCACATTCCATAGTTAGTAGTTTAAAATCACAAAGGAATGTGAAATAGACTGCATCAAGAATATTCCTATCATTATTCACATAAATCCATATACTCGCTGAACTTTTAGTCAAAATATACATATTTAAAAGAATAAACATTTAAAAATTAATTACTTAAACCATTTAAAAATCTTAAAAAAGTGTTTATAACTAAACCAGGTATTATGCTACCAAGTCTTCCTGCAATTATTTCATTAAATAAATGAATCTGATTAAAGCTTTTTTCATACATGTGAAGTAATTCTAGAGTATACAATATCCTATTTTCCACATAAATAATGACAATTGGGAACCACCTCTTCAACTGTTGAAAGCTTTAATTTTCAGAAATGTCCCCTTAAAGAGCATGATCATATTCGTGCTTTTAACAACTTAGAGGATTTAAATGAAATGGATGATAAAATATTTCATGTCTCAGTCATTAAAGCTTTTCAATCTTTCCAACAAATGGTTGAGACCTTGGAGATTTTGTAACTTGTCATACATATGTTTCTTCTCAAGCCCCAGTGTAAGTTTTCTCGTATGCCAGAAAAAAAAAAATCTTTTCTTTTACACAAAAAGATTGTCATTACAACATTAATACTTGAAACTTGATGTTTCAATTTTAAAATGCTGATATTAAGTTCATACAAGTACGTTATTTTCCACAGGCATAATGTTTGACTACCAGGTGTCTTACAAATAATCCTTAGTTTTGTATATATTAAAGTACTAAACACAAAAACCTTGAATGAGGCTATATTTTAAAGATATTTGTGGGTACAACTCAGAGTTTTTTTAAAACGGTCTCATGAGACAAATAGTAGGGAAAACCAATGAAATGAAACACTAGTTCTTCGAAACTGTCAAAAAAACTGATAAACCTCTAGAGTTAGACTGACAAAGAAAAAAAGAGAAGAAATTATCATTAGCAGGAATTAATTAGGGGCTATCACTACAGACCCTGCAGAAATCAAAAGGATAGTAAGAGAACATTACAAACAACCCTGCACATTGGTCCATTCCTAAAAAGCACCAATTCCTAAAAAGCACAAACTACCACAACTCACTCAAGATAAAAGTGATAATTTGAATACCCCTAAAACTATTCAAGAAATTACATTTCTAGCTGGGCGTGCTGGGTCACACCTGTAATCCCAGCACTTTGGGAGGCCAAGGCAGGCAGATCACTTGAGGTCAGGAGTTCGAGACCAGCCTGGCCAACATGGTGAAACCCCATCTC